AGGTTGCTGATAGCGGATTGCGTCGCGTCGCGGCGAGGTACTGCTAAGGCTATTTGCGCCTATAGCGGCAAATAGCGCATAGTCAAATAGCTGTCAAATATAAATATATTTAAATATTCTAAAAAATTAGAAAAGTTACAAAAAATCTACAAATGCATATTTGATGATTTATAAAGATCCAAAGCATGAAATAGATGTGTAACAATTGCATAATATTAACAAAGCACTATAAAGAACAAAAAATGTACCTATTTATCAAAAAGACTGTTATTTGTCCCATTCCTTCAACTTTCAAGTCTCTAATATATAATATTCTCAACAATAAAAAAGCATTGATTAGTAACATCATCATTATACTAACTACTAGAAACTTAACATAAAAAATAAAATCTTCAAGTATAGATAAATAAACAAAGCAAGATAATATCATGATAGATAATAACAGTATAACACGCTTTTCGCCGCGATTACGAGCGGAAAACGGAACTGCCTGCAATAGTCACCCGCTTAGCATGAAAGCCTAGCGGTATGTGGCTGCGGCTGCTATCGAAACCGCTATCGGGCGCTATTTACAACACTGGTTGGCGGGTGGGGATTTAAGTTTTTATTATGTTAAGAAGACTGTTTATGGAGGGTTTGGATCTATATGTAACTGAGGTTCAATGGGTACAAGGGCCATCAATGTTTAAATGTTCTTTTATGTGCTAAAAGATGTTTTACCTTAGAAATAAAGGATCATCTGATTAAATGGGACAATGGGCTACTTCCATATAATATCCGGATTGGGTTTGAGTCAGATCACATTTATACCTGACCTGTAATAACTTGGTTTGAGCCAGAACTGCACAATGAAGGAAGATACTTTCTGGTCTTGTCGAGACCTATATTGCATAAATCATGCATATGACACACTGATACGCGGAACACTATAAAAGTTACACAATACATGCGTGTCCAACATGGGACAACTTCATGATAGAAATCTGCATGCGACATAGGTTAATGATCATTTCTTTATAAGTGTGCATGTTATGTATTCAAGTGTCATTTTCTATCTGTCTTGTTGTTTTAGTTCTTCTGCAGTGTTTATAACTAATCCACGTAAGCAAAATATACTACTGCTTAGTCTTGTTTGTCATCCTAGGCTGTTGAATGAAGCCAAATTTTTCTTATCTTCCATCTGTGCAAAGTTCTGGCACATGGATCTCATTTCCATATCCTCCTATTTTTGCATATTGCATAGTGCTTCTTTGCTATGTCCTCTAAATCTCTAATTACTCTACTTTATGCATTTATGTTCTTAAGCATTGCTGTATGTGGATTGTTTTTGTGGATATTTATTTTAGATCCTAATTGTTTTCTATGGAACTGAAATTATGGCATATGGATTGCTCTTTTTTCAGCCGCCTAGCCGTTTTGATGAATTGCCTGATGATTTTGATCCAAGTGGAAGACTTCTAGGATCATTTGACGATGGGGATCCCCAGACTACAAATTTGTATGTTGGGAATCTTTCACCACAGGTGCCAAGCATCACTATGGATACTTGCTAAACTCGCAGATTGGTTAAGCTTTTTTTTACGAACAATTTTCATTGTCGGTTTTCTTAGGTGGACGAAAATTTTCTATTAAGGACGTTTGGAAGGTTTGGTCCCATTGCTAGTGTGAAAATAATGTGGCCTCGAACAGAAGAAGAACGTAGGAGGCAAAGAAATTGTGGCTTTGTTGCATTCATGAACAGAGCTGATGGACAGGCTGCCAAGGATGAGATGCAAGGTTTGCTGATTATCACTTGTATCATTCCATTGTATCACTACCCATGATTTGATAGTTAAAATCTTCAAGTTTTACAATGGGCATAAACAATGGAAATTGTTGGTGTTTCCTTTAAATCAAGTCAGTATTTTTGTTTATCGTTAATGTACAATTTGTACTCTTGAAGTACATTTGTAGTAGGAGCAGTTGTCCTGCCCAGTTGATGGCACTAGAAACTGATAATCTCTAAAATTGGAACACTAAGAAAGCTTTGTACTAATGGTTATACCTGCTTTATGTGTTGCAATTTGGACATATAGGAAAAAAGAGCATTGAGAAACTGAGATTGGCTGAATTGAAATCATTGAGATGAGTAAAAGTACACATAAGTAGAATTAGAAGTAGTGCATCAACAAGAGGTTTTATAATATATAGCTTCCAACAAGGATAAAGTGGGAATCGTTTGACTATGTTTGGACATTTGAAACTGAGACCAACAATGAGTTGTTCAAGAGGTGGCATCGGATGTTAGTTTCATAGTTGAAGGACTAGAGGTAGACCTAAAAGAATAAGTTTCAGCAGCATGTCTAGAGTCAGACCTTCCCTGGGTAATACCCAATTATTCTGGTAGGTTTCAACTTTGGTTGAAGCCCTGTAAGAACTGCTTAGGTTTGATCAAGTTGAGCCAAATAAAATAACACCAACCCCTGCTCTCATTGGACTTTTGAAGATCGTTCCACAACAAAGAGAAGCATTTATGCTCATTAAATTCTTTGAGAAATCTTTCTGAAGCATTTTCTTATCTGGCTATTTGTAATTTTCCTGTATCATAATAAGGTAGATGCTCAGGTTGTCTACTCTCAGTGCTAAAAGAAGAAAATGAAATGTGCCTATACATCGACTATGTTCCAAATTCCTGACATTTATATGTTGTTTCTTGGGTGGAACACGTATTGTCATGGATGACAACCTAAAATGTCAAGACATTAAGATTAAAATGAAAAAGAGAGAGATGCAAGATGGGATGGGCTGTCTACACTAGTATATTCTTGTTTCAGGTAAAACTTCTTTTCCAATACCGTCAGCATGGTGACCTGTGTTTGTTTCCCTTTATGTTATGAGCGGTTTTAGCCATACAACTAGGCTAGTATAGAGTTCATGGAAGATGACTGCAGCTAGTCAAACTGCTTATCACTTTACCATCTTTATCAATTTCTTCCTTTTCCCCCTTTCTGCCATCTTTATACATTGAATAGGCTTTTCATGCAAATTAAAGGTTGGTACCGAGTCCCATGTCCTAGTCTGATCTCAGAATTTTAGTAAAATTCTGCTAAAATTTTCATTTACCTTTTAAACATTTATACAAGGGGTAACCACCTATATATTCTCCATCATTTTTATAGAAGCAGTTAGCTTTGAAACACTGTCAGATTTTGTAGCTCAAACTGAATGATGAATTATAATTTCCTATTTCAGGTGTAGTTGTGTATGATTATGAATTGAAGATTGGGTGGGGTAAGTCGGTATCACTTCCAGCGCAGGCTCTGCCTGCTCCCCCACCTGGGCACATGGCTATTAGAAACAAGGAGGTTTTCCCCTTTCTTTACTAGTTTTCCTATAATTTTTCTGTCAGGGTTTGCACTGTGAATAAAATCAACAAGCTAATACATAACCCTTCTCATATGTTTATCTTTTTCATCTTCTTCCTATGATTAACTCTATAAAGTAATTATTGTATGAGAACATTTCTTTTGGTGATTGGCAGGGTAACACTGTGATTCTATCTGGCCCTGATGGGCCTCCAGTTACGTCTGTGACTAGTCAAAGTTCTGAGTTGGTAGGTTACTCCAGATATCACCTTTTCCTTTTTTTTCCTCTTTTTTATTTCATCTAGTTTATTCCATAAATGATAATCTTTTAATCAAAATGAAAATTGAACTTGGTTATCTTGAGCTAGGAAGTCAACTTTATTTAATTATCCGCATTCCTTGCATTAACTAAGGAGTTCATTTATTTTACTTGTTTAATTGTTCATTTTTATGTTACAGTGTTATCTTATCATGTGTTGGTTTCACCGTATAGGTTCTTACACCAAATGTTCCAGATATACTGGTTCTTCTTCCTGAAGATAAACACTTACAACATGTTATTGACACAATGGCCCTACACGTTCTGGATGGTGGATGTGCCTTTGAACAAGCTGTTATGGAGAGAGGCCGTGGAAATCCTCTTTTTAATTTCTTATTTGAGCTTGGATCCAAAGAACATACATACTATGTTTGGAGACTTTACTCCTTCGCCCAGGTATAGTTTATTCATTAAAAACCTCTAGGTTTTTTTTGCAATGTCCTTTTTTTCTTTTTCTTTTTTTCCCTTTTTTCTTTTTCTTTTTTCTTCTTCATAGGGGTTGGTTAATGAGAGGTAAGCATGACAATTGACAATAGAAGAGAATCAAAAGACATAAGAGTCAGAGGTCCAAAGCTAAGTTAAGTAGCAATTAATTTTTTTTGCTTGATGGAGTTCCCTTGGAGACCAATCCATGTACCTCTTGCAAGTAGTTTGTTGCCAGAAAGTCTATCTCAGTATCGACAGGGACGATGTGCTATATAAATATATGAATATAAGTGAAACAGTGTTCAAAGGTGACAAGACTAAATATTATCTACTTTAAGAGCTTTAACTGAAGATGAGATAACAGCTGTCTTGTAATACATTATCAAGTCTCCAATCCTTGATTCTTTTTCCTTATGTGGAAACATTCGGTCTCCTGAGAGAGATCAGTTACATGACTGATGACCAAATACCCTTCCATTTTGAGTTTCGCTCCTCTTCCGTGGTGATAGTCAATTTCTTAAAGCAATGCAACTACCCATTACAAACTTTTATTTGTGAATCTTCCTGAAGTATGCACCGCTTCTTTCTTGAGGTTATTCGATTCTCCAGTCAGTTTCAAGGTGGTCAGATATGTTCTCTGAGATCAAATAGTAATAGTTCATCCTCTAATTGTATTCTAAGATTTTTTGTAGTATCATCCTTCTGTGTTTGTTTCATTGTAAAATATATGTAACAATGATTACTAATTTTGCCTAGCTGTCACTGAATTACAAGTATATTACCTTAAATTAGTTTTCAGTCTATAATATATTACTTGCATGATATCTCAAGAGCAATGTTGAAAAAAGCGTTGCTTTTCGCCGCTAAAGCAGTTTGCTAAGGAATTGGCCTCTAGCCGCTTTGCTTTTGTCGCTTTTGTTGGCACTAAGCGCCCTTGGCTTTTACTCGAAAAGGCGTCTTGCGGCACGTAAAAATGCTTTAAACCGCTTTCCAGTGCTTTAAAAAAAAAATATGGGTAACAGGTTTTGATGTGTACCAGATCCGAACATGACCCGCTTTAAGGATTAAAACCCCTTTCACCTTCTCTTCCCAATCCGAACCAAAAAAAAAAAAAAAACTCTAGACCTCAATTTCTCTCTACTTCCACTTCGTCCATCTCTTCTCCGTCGAAGCTCACCAAAAATTCAGTCGACAAGTCTTCTCCTCCTTGCCGGTTTTATAATTTTAGATTTTTTCTTGAAAATTTCTTCTTTTCAAATTTGTATCCATATTTAAAATGTTAATAGGATTTGGACCCTTTTTGTCCTTGGCACTTTTTTCCGTTTTGAGACGCTTAAGCCCCAAAAAGCCTAAGCGGTGCCTCACCGCCCACTCCGCTTGCCTCTTTCCACAATCTTGCTCAGGAGAAAACACCATTACATATCTCTAGATGTCTATGACTTTGTCATTGATTCCTTCCACATGTTTTTAAAGGATCTTTCTTCATAGGAGCATAGCATGCTCTTTTTTTTTGGAATTTCATGTCTTATAGATAAACACTAAATTGATATGTTGCGAGGAGTTGGAATATTTTCTGACTTTTTTCTTTATTATCCTTCCCACAATCCCAAGGCACTTCTTTTCAGTCGACTTGAGCTTTTCACCAACTTATTCTTTGATAAAAACCACATCCTATTTGTTCTCTCTATCACATCTTCATATTTAGGTTCAAGGGCAAAAAGTTAAAAATGTTTGAACCAAAGGAGGTATTGGACTTTGTCCTTGATCAAGGACGCCTACTTTTGGGGCTCACAACCTTGTGTAGAGTTATGGAGTATGCTGCTGTTCTCATGGTAATATAAGGGATGCTCTGGAAACTGTTGTGTCAACTGGTCTCTTAAGAGTTTTTTTTGTTGGAATGCAGGGTGACACACTTCAACGGTGGAGGACAGAGCCCTTTATCATGATAACTGGAAGTGGGAGGTAATCATATTCTACTTATTTACCTCAATATAATATATCTTTTCTGCAGGATGCATAGCTCTGTGTTCCTGTGTCATATTATGTAAAAATGAGGTAGTTGTTGGGTTTTGTTACCTTTATATCATGCTGTAATTTGTCATTTTCCAATTAGATGGATTCCACCCTCTTTGCCGCCTACTCCAAGTCCAGAGCAAGAGAAAGAAGCTACCACCACGTATGCAGCTGGTAGAAGCAGGGTTAGCTGCCTTTCACTTTCAAAATGGTTTTGGCATCTCCTTTAATATATGAGTTTCAGATATAGAATAACCGTAAAAGGATTTGTGGGTATGTCAGACATGAATATTGGTTGGAAGTAATCTAAGTGAACTACTTTTAATGTTTCATAGCGTGTGGAGTTGGAAAGAACACTAACAGATCCACAACGAGATGAATTTGAGGACATGTTGCGTGCGTTAACTTTGGAGAGGAGCCAAGTAAAACAAGCTATGGGTTTTGCTTTGGATAATGCTGATGCAGCTGGAGAGGTAATGATGCTTCCCATCATTATGTATAGACCATCGTATTTTACAAGAACGATCTGCCACTTTGCTATGTTGCATGGTTAGGGGAATGGGTAAGGGTATCAGTATGGGTATCGGTATGGGATACGGCAAATTTGTAAAAGGTGGGGTACAAGGACACAACTATACAAATATTTATATACACATATATTATATATTTGAATTAATAATCTGTATGAGAACAAGGATGAAATTAACATTCATATAATATTTTTATGTTTCTTTTATTAGGTGTGTTATAAATTGGAAAATCACTAGTTTTTGAACTAGACATCTAAGCGACCTTGCAAAATCATAATTTGGAATTTGACCTATGTCCAGTGAGTTTTAAATTAAAAAATGTACTGTGTAATTGAGTACATTCATGAATAAATGCATGCATATATGCAATAATGTATAATTGAGTACATTCACGAATAAATGCATGCATATATCCAATGAGTGTCCAAGGAGTTTGGGTACGGGTACGGGTCGTCTATGGGTACGGGTATGACTTCAGATTTGAAGTACCCAGGTAACGTAACTTCAGACGTTTCCACAAATGTGTCTCTATTTCGTCTTATACAAATTTTCATGCTTAGTAATAAATTGACGATTTGATCAAGCATGTTATTTTTCCTATACAATTAATTTATTCTTGGTATTGTTCTTTTGCTTATCATATAGGTGGTTGAGGTTCTTACGGAATCGTTGACGCTTAAGGAAACGCCCATACCGACTAAGGTTGCAAGGCTAATGCTGGTTTCTGACATCCTGCATAACAGTAGTGCTCCAGTGAAAAATGCTTCTGCATATCGGACAAAATTTGAAGCTACTTTACCAGACATAATGGAGAGCTTCAATGACTTATATCGTAGTATTACAGGACGGATTACTGCCGAGGCCCTCAAGGTAATTTTTGATTCTGGATTTCTCCTCAAGTCCGATGCTTTCATGCTTATTAAGTATCTCTTCCCTATATAATATGCTTCAATTACCTTGGTGTTTGCTTCAGGAACGAGTTTTAAAGGTTCTTCAGGTATGGGCAGACTGGTTTCTTTTTTCTGATGCGTATGTCAATGGTTTGCGTGCTACTTTTCTCCGATCAGGGAACTCTGGTGTCACACCTTTCCATTCTATATGTGGAGATGCACCTGAAATTGAAAACAAAAGTAGTTCCGAAGATCTTCAAGAAGTGGACAAAATTAATCAAGATGCTGCACTGGCAATGGGGAAGGGAGCAGCTATGCAAGAGTTACTAAGTCTACCTCTTACTGAACTGGAAAGACGTTGCAGGCAAAATGGTCTCTCACTTCTTGGTGGTAGGGAAATGATGGTTGCAAGACTGCTGAATCTGGAGGAAGCAGAAAAGCAGAGGGGATATGATCGAGATGATGAGATGAGATATGTGCATAGCCATTCTGGCAATCATAGAACAGAGGATGACAGTTTGAAAGCGAATAATGCTGGTCACAGAGAAGCCAACCGTGGGATGGAACCAAGAAGCTCGAGTAAGTGGAGTCGACATGATGAAGAGGGACATGGGAATGTTTTTTCATCTTTAGCACCAACCCTTGCGATTCCTCAGCCTGAGTTAAGAGCATTCCCTAGCAAGAAAGAAAAATATGACCCTATTTTACCAGATTCTAAATGGTCTCGAGATGATGATGGCAGCGATGATGAAGAAAACCAAGGTGGTCGAGGTTTAGGCCTAAGTTATTCCTCCTCTGGAAGTGAAAATGCTGACGGTGATCTTGAGAAGGCGGAGGAGGCTGACATGGAAGCTGGCGCCAACAATCTTCCTTTTCCTGAGAGTAACATGAGTGAAGAGCACAGGTCATGACCCATTTTCTTGTATTGTATATGCATCAGTTGTTTTGAAGTGCAACACATTTTTTGTTGTTGAAATCTTATGCTGCTGTTATTTTGTTTTGCAGACAGAAACTCAGGCGTTTGGAGGTTGCTGTAATAGAATATCGTGAAACTCTTGAAGAGCGAGGAATTCGAAATCCAGAGGAAATAGAAAAGAAAGTTGCGAATCATCGGAGACGGCTTCAGTTAGAGCTTGGTTTACTAAATTCTGTGGAAGGCTCCAGTAGGCAATCATCTCGTAAGTTACAGCACAAGGCATTTCTGTTTGTTTGCCATTCTCTTGCTTTTCCTGTTGAATGCATGTATCATTTCTCTTGGGATGTTTCATTCTCTTAGGATCTGTGTTGCATGGGTATACTGGTATAGGTATGGGTATGGGACACAGAAATTTTATAAAAGGAAGGGTACAGGGACACGGCTATATGAATATTTATATACACATATATTATATATTGGAATTAATAAATTAAACGAGAACAGTGATAAGAATTAAAGTTCCTATTAACATTTTTATGTTTATTTTATTGTGTTGATTATAAATTGGAAAATTACTAGTTTTTGAAGTAGACGTCCAAACAACCCTTCAAAATAATTATTCTGTACCTGATCTTTGTCCAACGAGCTTTAAGAAGTGGACGTGAAGTGTATGATATTTGTCCAAAAAGTGCATGACGAATATTTTAAATTAAAATATGTATTGTATTATTGAGTACATGCCTGAATAAATGTATGCATATATGCAAGGAGTGTCCAAGGAGGTTGGGTATGGGTACGGGTACGTGTTGGGTAGGGCTCCAGATGAGAAGTACCCAGGTAACGTAGCTTAGGATCTTCATGGAGACGTATTTGATTTTTTTTTTAATCCTTTGAGAGAGAATCCTCTTTATGTCTGATAGTCTTCACTTCGCGACAATATTTTCTAGCTTTGGCAATGTTCTTTTACTCCTGTGTTTATTTAGTTCAGTGGATCGGTTTTGTTAATTTCCACATGAATACTAGAGTTGACATTACCATAGATTAAAGGTTTGATTGTCATTTTTATAGAGGATGAGGAAGGTAACATCAACCATGCCGGTTTTGTTTGTGGTATATGTGGGTTAACATCAACCATGCCCATTTCGTTTGTTGTATATGTGCATTTGATGTTATTTTAATAGGTGACACTTGATGCAAAATACAAATAAAAGTGGTTTTATCCTTTTTATAATGTATGCGTTTAGAGATTTAAGTTCTGGATGCTAAACAAATCAATATTTCAAGTTTGCATGAGGCTTATATTGTTAAAATGAACCATTGAATAAACAAGAAAGTGAGAAAAGCTTAATTATTCTCCCCTCAAGTTTGAAGTTGTGTTAATGAATGAACTGCAGAGAGGACACCAACAGTGAGGAAGGGCAAGCGTGAAGATGGGCATGAATCTTCAAGGAAGCGGCACCGAAGTCAGAGCAGAAGCCGCAGCCCACAAAAGAGGTCATCAACCAGAGACAGGGAGAGGGTGAGCGATGCTGATAGGAGTCAAGATAGACACCGTCAAAGAGAAAAGAGTGGAAGCAGAGAACGAGATGACCATGAAAGGGATAGAACTAGAGAAAGGGACAGAGATAGGAGAAGGAAGGGAAAATGAGTAGCAGAAAGTGGTAATGTGTTTTGGGGAAGAGGTTGTTCACATGCTCTACTGATGACCAGCTCGTTCTCATGCCTAAATTTCTTGTATTTGGGTTTTGACATTGATAGAGAATTGTTTCTTAGAATTGTATCAATCCTTAGTAGATGTGTTCTTCAGACTTTGTGCCCATTACTAGCAAAATCTTAATTGATGTAATGATCTTTTGTACTAAATTCATGGTAAAAGTGCCTTGCCTTTATTAATTGCAGAAAACTGGGAGCTTTTCTTGTCAGTGAATATTTATCAATGATTAGAGTTTGCCTCGGTTTTCATTTTATGCAGGTTTAAAATGCTATCAAGAATTTTTATCGAGGATCAGATATGATAAAAACTGGTGTTTCCTTATTGAATATTACCGATGTATCACTTATCAGCTTTAAATCCTATCTAAGATCTTGGTACGGCTTAAATAAATTGAAGGGGGGGTAAAAAGGTAAAAATGAGAATACCCCTTTCTTTTCTTCTACGCCTATAATCATTGGAGTTTTGCTTGGCCACCCCCACGCCCCTACTCCCTCTTTTTTTTTTGTTCTTTTTCTATTTCTTTTCAATTATACGTGGAAAAAAATGCAACTTTTACTGTAATCTTTTGAGCAGTTTATTCCGTGAAAAAGAGGCACTGCTGGCGGTGTCGAGGACTTTATTACAATGTTCTGATAAACGTATAATTGACTTGAAGCGCATAAAACATTTTACAGCTTGTATGTTTGATCTGATATCAAGCCGGCCAGTCTACAATCTACATGATTCGGAAGATTCCGACGTGGCCGCGAAAACCATCAATTACAGCGTTTCCCGCCTGCATTTATTTCTGAGTAAGGTACGTACGAAAGACTCTCCATATGAAAAGAAATAGAAAATACCCATTTCAAGGATCCATACCATGATATCCCTTCAAATTAATTGATTTGTCCCCTCCCAGTTTTGGAACCTTACGATGACTTGGGCCAACTGAGGAACATAACGCCCTTGAGAAAAGGGTTCCAGAGATTTGTAAGATATCACAGAGGTTTAAATATGTGTCCATTTTTTACAAAATCTTTTGTCATGATAATAGTAAGTAAAGCTTGTAGTCTTCTTAAACCTGCATTAGCTCTTCGAAAAATGTCTTAATGACCCAAAATATGGGACCATTGGAAAAAGGGAAAAATGTGTCCAGGCCCCAAAAGTGGGAACTTCGTGTGACTAGCCCCCCTGTATTTTGCCCCATGTGGATTAGCCCCAAATACGCATAGTATTTGCGACGAGGCCCCGAATTGACTTATTTCAGAAAAAGCCCAGAGAAAGTTACGATCTTGCCCTATGATGGGACTGAGCTGGGTTAATGTGCCCCTCACCTTTACAAGTACTCTCCCTCTCTTTCTCTCTCTTCCACCTAGCACCGTCATCAAGAACTCTTCATCTTCCTAATTTCTATACGAATTTCAACGTTTCTAGGGTTTTCGCCGGAAAAATGTCGTCGTCTACGGAAGAATCCAGTAACGACTACGAGGTCGGGCACCAAGCCGAGTTGGAAGGAAAAGGCGCTTCATCTGCGGGTGGCAGCGCGGAGGAAGCTACGGAAGCTACGAAAACCCTAATCGAAATGCAAAAGGAGGCATTACAATGGCGAGACCAGAAAAGGAGGATGGCAATGGCTGGTCATACCAACGAACCCCCCTCAAAAAAAAAGTAAGTGTTATATTATACCGCGAAGAGACAATGCAGATTAACCCAATATTGTTAGTTCTAGGCTTTGTCCAATGTTAGCTCTAGTTTAAGTCCAATGTTAGTTCTATTTTGAGTCCAATGTTAGTTCTATAATATTACGTGTTAGCTCTATTTTGTTCCCGTTAGTGCTAGGTCTAATATTGTTTCATATGTCTTATTGAACGTACAAATTCGAAAATTTTTTGCAGGAAAAAAATTGCTCTAACAGGCTCAGCAGAAACACTAAGGTTAACGGCCAATATCGGGGCTTATTGGGCATTTATGAAGCGCCTTGCCCCGAAGATCCGTCAGTGGCATAGGGATGCATACTGCGGTTCTATATTTCAGCACTACATTTTGTTTGGGGCTCCTGCGGCTGATCGGCCCACCCTTGAGCTGCTGCTGAGCTTTTTCGATAGAGATAATAACACCTTTTGTATACCTGATTCAAAAAGTGGGGGTATGAAAAATGTTAGTTTTGATTTGCAATGGGTCCACAACCATACTTATTTCCCAATTTATGGGGAGGACATAAGGAACAATAGGGACTCAAGAAGCAGAATATGGCTGGGATACTTCGCTAAGCTTTTCATTTCTGAAGAGGGTAAGAAGTTAAAAAAATCAGAAACCAGCCAACGTAAACATCTTGAAGGGCTACTTGAACGGCTTGTTGAATCTACCAAAAAGCGGGATATCGAGGATTTTGCTCTGCTACAAATTTTGTACCAATGCTCTATGATATGGAGTCCCATAGCAGGGGAAGGTATCCCTAGACCCTTACTCAGGTACCTGGATAGCATTCAGAGGGTCAATTCTGTTGCATGGGCCCCGTTCTTTTATAATGAAATTATCAGGGGCATTGGAGTTGCTTTGGAGGGAAAGAAGAAGCAAAAGGTCGCATATGTCCCAGGTTGCATGACACTATTGTGTGTAAGTTCCATATTTTACTGATCTTGTTTCATTCTAGTTCGTACCTATGCATTGTTAGTTCTAACTTATTCTATGTTAGTTCTATTCTGTAGCGTGTTAGTTCTAATCTGCACAGTGTTAGTTCCGTTCTGTAGAGTGTTAGTTCTAATCTGCACAGTATTAGTTCTATTCTGTAGAGTGTTAGTTCTAATTTGTACAATGTTAGTTCTATTCTGTAGAGTGTTAGTTCTAATCTGCACAGTGTTAGTTCTATTCTGTAGAGTGTTAGTTCTAATCTGCACAGTGTTAGTTCTAATCTGCACAATGTTAGTTCTATTTAGAACTCTAGTATGGAGCATAACAAAGAACTGCTTAATGACAAATAAAACATTAGAACTGAAGTCCAGTTAAACCTAGTATAGAACTAACAAGAAGACGATTAGAACTTAAGTTAATTGATTTTACAGTTAACCTACATGTCTTGTCGGACTTGCTCGTTTTCCTGTTTATTCGAAGAATCATCTCCTTCTTTAAAAGCTTGCACGTGAACCTCTTTCAGTCCAAGATTGTGGCAATGCTCCACCATAGACGTCAGATCACCATCGTTCTCAATGAGAAATTTTAAGCTTCCAACTGTTTGATCTTCGTATGCCAAAATTAATGACTCGTATGGAAGATCTAACCTCTCTGTCGCATCAAACTTGAGATCCAAGATGGTGGTTGAAGAATTAATCTTCAAGAATACCGCTTTATACTGCGAAGAGACAATGCAGATGATGTCCTTTTCAGCCATTTTGAAGGGATAGTAAGAGTAATGGGAGTAATGGAGAGAGTTATGGAGAGAATTTTGGTCTGAGGAGGAGGAGTAATGGAGAACTAACTAGTTATTGCTCATGATGGAGTAAAAAAAAAGGGGGAAATTTCCCTCCATTTTCCCCATCATATCGCATTAATGAGAAGTGACTTCTGTTGTTCAGGACCAGGACTCGTCTGGGGAAGAAAGAGAAGGGCAATTTCGGTTTTTTTGCAAAATACGATCTGCTTTTAGTATAAAACTGACGTGGAGGGGGCTTAAAACATTAAAGCTCATTTTTGGGGGCTATTCCACATAGGGCAAAGTACAGGGGGCTAGTCACACGAAGTTCCCACTTTTGGGGCCTGGACACATTTTTCCCTTGGAAAAAACATGGGACCATTCGGAAAATGCCTTTAAAGAATCCTTGCTGCACAAGAACCCAAAGGAAAAAGTAAGCTTAACCTCTATCAATCAACCAAAACCGACGCGTGTGAAGTTAGGTCAAGTAGAAAGCAACAGTTCTACCGGTCCTTTCTATCTCCGTTGCCCAACACATCCTTGGAGCTGTTTTTGAGTAGGAAAATCCGACACCGACGGGTGAAATGAAGGAGCATATATTAACTACTGCGGTTGTCAGGTGTTATTTCACAGTATGAATCTAGGTTCACACGAAATAGACTGTCAGAACTATTGACATAAATATAAAGATGAGGGCACAAAGATTGTATGGTTACATATACGGTGAGATTTGGTATATGTGACATCCATCACAATCATCAGAACTGCAAGGCATATTTGACCCCTCGAAGTAATACCTCAAATGAAAGGAGTTTTTTTTTAAAAAAATTAAAAGAGGTTATTTTTTACTAAATAATTAGCAAAACCGACCGTTTTGCTAATTGTGTTGTGATGTAATGTTATGAATTCATTAAATATATCTTTATTCAGTGTATACAGAGTGGACGTTATATTTTTGTAGCCTAAATAAGTCTGCCAAGCAATGCATATGAAGCGATACAGTCTGTGCATGTTCTGTGCACGTTTGTGGTGTGCCTAGCAAATCCACGGGACTACTACTCCCACGGATTTGTTGGACGACATTGCCCATGTCTCTGCTTAACGCACGTGACTAGTAGTCCCGTGCGTTTTCTTTGGAGGTTCAGGAAACCCACGGGGCTAGTAGTCCCGTGGATTTTGTGAGCTCAGATTAGTGACCAATTACTGACCTAGTCCTGTATGTTTCAGAAGATTATCTCTACAAAACCGACCCCTTTGTCGATTTTGCTAAATAATTAGCAAAATGGTCGGTTTTGCTAATTATTTAGCAAAAAATACCTCTTTTGAAAAAAACTCCCAATTGAAACGTGTTGTTTGCTAGAAAGCCCACCCAGGGGAAGGAGGCTTGAACCTTAACTTGTTTGATTGATCAATTAAATATTAAACATTCAACTGAAAAATTTAAATGAAAAAGGAGGAGGAGGAGGAGGATATAGGGTTAAAGATCCCACTTCCTCTGCCGTTCTGAAAGCAACAGATGAATATCCAGGCCCTGAAAAGCAACATGACTTGCCAACTGCTGTCTGATCAGCAAATTAAACTACTGCTTCTTCAGCCAATTTGAAGATAACACCCTTATTATCAGAATCTTGCCCCCATAAATCTGAACCCCAAGCTCACCCAGATGGGAGAACCGAGTCATTTTTGTGAGTATTCTAATCAACGAAGCAATAACTGAGGATTGCAAATACTAAAACCGAAGCCAGAGTCCCAACTCTTAGAGCGACTCCAATGGGGAGGCTGCAAAATGTAGCCTCCCCAAAGAATATTCTCTTGAATAT